AACCAAACCACTGATACACTGATATATAACTATAAAAATAAACAGTGAAAAGATACAAGTTCAGAAATGGAATGTATGGGCCAGGGATTTAACTCAGTGGTTCTGCCACCTGCCTTACAAACTCAAGGACCCAAGTTTGATTTCCGGGTACCAAAAAAAAAAGGATTAACTCCACAGATTAAAAGAATAAGAGTTAAACCAGGCATGGAGGTGCACAACTGTAAACCCAGCACTTGGGAGGCCAAAGCAAGAAGATTACTGCAACTTCAAGACACACACACACACACACACACACACACACACACACACAAATAGTATAACAGCTTCATGGAGCATTCCAGCCTTTGATGTGCTGTACACCAGGCACAGAAGCAGCAGGGGTGGTAGGAAGCTCGCATCCTATGGGTAACTGGCACTAAAAGTGTGCCACTTGTGGGAGAGCAGCAGTGCCCATGACTAGAAAATAAGCATGTAGGACTCTGGCTCCCCTGCTAATATGAAAGGTAGAAGAAGCTGCTGTCCCTCTGCCTGAGGCTACAGTGTTTTTAAGGCTCCCAACCTGAGGAAATGGACAGAGGGACTGCCTTTCACCAGGAGGGAAAACAAGCCAAGCACTGGCTTGGTACATGGGCAGTGTCGCAAAATAACAGCAGCACAGGAACTCTGTATGATACCTGTGTCCAGGTGAGAGACTCTCAGGGTCCTGGTAAATGGGACTCTGAAACCACTAGAAAGTCAGGGAAGGCCAGATGGGAGATGAAGTTGCACAAGTCACAGCCAGACAGGGAGCCTGCAGACAAAGCAGCCAAACGTAGGCAACCGCAATATCGATTATGCCCAAAGCAGGCTGTAAGCAGTGCAGGCTGTGAAGAGTTAACCCCGCGATTGGCTTGTTGATAGAAGTGAGTCTTGCCAAGCCCTTCATGCTGAGGTCAGAGTAACACACTCAAATACCATTCCCACAACTAAAGCCTTCTAACTAAAAGAACAATGTTCTAATTACAACCATATATTCTCTCTATTTTGTACCTAATTCAAGAATGCTTTATCTTGTCTTTTACAAGCCTTGCTTACATTAATTTCCATGAAAACCACATCTTGCAGAACTTGCCTATATCCCAATTGATTACCAATAAAAATCAGTGGCATGGACTGACTGGCCAGCACCTTCGTTGGTTGCTCTGGCATTGGCCTTTCTGGTGCCCCACTTTCTCCTAGTTCTGTCTTTTAGGTTTGGTTTTTTTTTCCCCTCAGGCCTTTATCACACACTGGGCAGGAGACTGGAACCTTCTGCAGAGGTTTCCAGTAACATTTCAGGGGTCCCCATTAGCGGAATGCTGTAGAACTTAGCCAACAGTTGGTCTAAAGATGAATGCAACCAAGAGGAAACTAATAGTAAAACAAAACAATACAAAAAAGACTTTAACATAAGTATGATTAATATTCACTTTAAAAGAAGAAATTGTGAAAGAAAAGCAGAACAAAGCAACAATATGTGGATATGAAAAAACAGCCCATTAGAACCCACTGAAAATGAAAGTTGTCATTGAAATTTGTTTTAATCATTCATTAGAAAAATAAACATTAGGGGATTTGGCTCAGTGGTTCCACCGCCTGCTTTGCAAGCACAAGGTCTGGAGTTCGATCCCCAGTACCAAAAAAATAAAAAATAAAAATAAAACCATTAGATTAGAATAAAGAAGTAGTACACTGAAAGAGACTCTTGATCCATTCACCTACGGGGGGGAAAGTCACTGAGAAAGCAGGGCAGAAAGAAAAATATTTTTGAAAAATTAAAGAATTTAGAGAAGGAGAGCTTGAGAGGCTCTGGTCCGTTTAATGGAGAGAAAGGGGGGACTGAAGAGTAGTATATTATGTTGGGAAACTGCAAGATATTTTCTAGGATTGAAAAGGGACATGAAAAGTATATAGGCTAACTTTGCTATTTACATGTGATCTTTGGCAGGCAGAGGGCAAGAAGCAACCACCCTCTTCCTGTCCCTTATATTTTATCCAGGCAGGTGTAGTCTGTCCCTTATATATTGTCCCCTTATGGACAGGTAGCACTCACACCCAGGGTGAGACACCCTTAATCCTACCCAGAACATGCCAAACCAACCTGTGGACTAATTTAGTTATTACACACCCTTAATCCCAGCATCACATACTCTAGATTCAGCCACTTCTGGATAAGCCCCACCTATGACCACATGAGGCTTTGAGGGGACATCGAGACACAAATTCTTGAGGTGTGTCTCCTAAGAGGAAACATAATGCCATTATCACACTTAGGAAATATAAGTCATTTCATATTGTCATATGAGATATCCAGGCCATTTTCAGATGTACCTGTTTGTTCCAAGAATGTCTTTTAGAACTAGTTTTTTTAATTCTTTTTTATTTTCCTGCATCAGTACAGTAGCCATCAAAGTTTCCGTCACATTGGTGGTTATAAAAAAGGAGGGAGACACATTTTCCAGAAAAACAGTTCTAGGAGTGGATTCCCGTCCTTTTCACCAGTTTCTTTCTCCTTTGTGTATTCCAGGCTGAGATTTTAACCGGCCTCACAGTGAGCAGCCAGGCAGAGGCTGGGAAGGCTGCCCTAGTGCTCCTGGCGAGGGGCTGCCTGGTCGTAATCATCACCTTGGGGGCTGACGGCTGCGTGACAGTGTCACAGACAGAGCCTGTTCCAAAGCACATTCCCACAGAGAAAGTCAAGGCTGTGGACACCACGGTAGGTTTTAAACTTTAACAGTCCTTTTGGCCCTTCATAGTCCTTATTTAATGATTAAGATACTAAAGGCCTAGGAAACGGTATGGCAGAGAAAAACATTCAGCAAGAACACTGTGTCTTAATCTCTCTCAAACTCAGTCACTAAACCTCTCTGAACCTCAGTTTGGTCATCTGTAAAATCAGAATACCAGTAAAATTACACCTGTATTATCTGTACTCGTTCATTCTTTCATTCAGTCCCTATTATGTGCCAGTCGTGCTTGGTGCTGGGGATCTAGTAATGAGCCAGGCATAATCTCTGTCCTGGAGCTAAGTTTCTAAACAGGAAGCAGCCGTGTCTTACGAGACTCTCATGTGGAATGAATGACCAGGAGCCTTGCTTAGCAGGGATCATTCTTTTAGCCAATAAATAATAGCAGCTACCATTTACCACATGCTTGCTGTGTCTCTTCTGCATCCATGTCATTTAATCTGTACAATTATATAAGTCAGGTATTGCTATTGTCCTCATTTTACTGAAGAGGAAGCTTGTTTAGGATCACATAATCATTAAGTGATGGGGCTGGAGTTCTAAATTAAGCTTGTGTTGTCCACACAGATGTGTGTGCGTGCGTGTGTGCGTGTGTGTGTCTTGTTAGGGCAGATGTGCTCGACGAACAAGTCATGGCTACAAAGTAGGAGTGACAAGGAAACAAGTTTAAAAACAAGGTTCATGGTTCCCTGACAACCTGGGAAATAAAAATAATTTGTTTAGTGGTAGAATTCAGAAAAGCTGACTGGAAAAGTAAGTAAACTTCAGGGACAAGAAACTAGAGTTAAGGAAGAAGAAAAGTTTTAAGATTTTCATATGTAAGGAACTGACTAATCATTTATAAAATATATCCCAGTTTGTTTCTATGCTGAGAAACTTTAAAATGTGGACCATTTATCAAAAAAGAAGTCTCAAAATAAAAAAGTCTCAGGGGAGTCAGATGAAGTTATGGATATAAATATGTTTTTTAAAATATATAAGTGCAATAAATGCTTATACAACATAAATTCAGTGCTCCAGTTGCCTTTCAAAATGTGCTTTGTGGAGTATTCAATAACGCGTGCTTGGTCTTATAACTGTCTTCGTATTTAGTCATTTCTGAAACCATTAGGCTTTTTTTGTTTTACCAAGATCAGGAACCTGAATTTGAAAGGCTCTCTGTTAGTTTAATCTTCCAATAGACTAAGACAACCTGTGTCCTAAATTAAAGCGAGGAGAGTTTATCTTCTCTTGCTGAGGTGAAAAGATGGCAGCCCTACCTGGACACACAGAAGCGGCCCCGCCTCTACTTTCAGACATGTTCAGACTCCAGTCGTATTGGTTGTAAGCGGCAGAAGCACAGTTCAGACGGGTCATGTGAGGCACACAGTTGGAAAGTTTGCAGATAAAGCGGGATGCAGAAGCTAAACCATGACATTAGGGTTTCATCCACTTTCCCTGTCAGCTCTGCCTTCCTCGGGGTGAGCCTTGAGCTCACGCAGGCCTCCGAGTGTGATCCTTGGCAGTGCCACATCCACTGTGTCCTACATCATGTTCCTATCCCAGGTGTTAAAAATAAATCAAAGAACTCTTCTCAGAGGATGGGGAGTAGATGCTGATCAGACTGAGCGCACCACTCATGGTTATCACAGAATGGTCCTGCACAAATGCACTCCTTGGGCATAGGACTACGTTAGCGAGCCGAGCCTTAGATGGGTTCAAATCCAAATTAGAGTCATGATCCTCAGATAGGAGAGTCAGGATTTCTCAGATCCTGGCCGATAACAGGTCTGAGACTAAGAAATACATCAGTGTGGACTATGAGGTTTGTCACATTTTGGTGATGCTATTTTTGCCCTCTCGTTTGGATTCTTAGCACTTAGGTTTCAGGAAATTGAATAGGTTTGAAAGATGAAGATCCACAGTCCCCATCTCCTGCAGGACAAATGCTCTTCTCTTCTGTGGGAGTAACCCGACAGCGTAGAAGGGTTTAAAAACCGCCAGTCTAGAGTTCCAGCCCTGCTTCTCCTGAACATTCGCTATCACTGTGGGAAGTCAGATAACTTCTCAGGGCCTTGCGTACCTCCCCTCAAAAATGCACCCATAACATTAATATCGTGACCTAGAAGGAAGTGGGGCAGAGAGGAAGTAGTACCTATAGAGATCTTTCGTCCTACAGCTTCGTATTTCCATCCATTCGTTCATTCAACAAATACTGAGTTCTGATCACAGGCCCCGGTGTCTATGGCCGTACCGCCCTGAAGGCGCCCGATTTCATCTGATCACATGCCCCTCAAAAAAAGAAAGAAAAAAAGAAATAGAAAAGCCAGTGTAGTTTAATATGCCCAAAGATTTTTAGTTTTCTTGCAGAATTTGAAGATGAATTAGTAATCGGTATGTAGAAAACTGAGGAAAAAGAAAATGTGAAACAGGCTTCTGCCCTAGGTCATCTAGAATCTTAGAGGAAAGAAGTATGACTGAATATGTAGAATCTTTGTACATCACAAGGCTACCCATGCACAGCCATCATAATGTAAATGCCAGTTGCCGACTTAACTAAAAACGGACATTGTGATTCATATTGTGAAGGTGAAAGGATAAGGGGAGTGTGTGCATCTGTGTGCACAGAAGCAAAACGCTCGTCTTCCGCAGTTGGAAGGAAAGAGAAGCTGTCTAAAATGGGGTTAAAAATAACATTATAAGGACGTTACCAAAAGTATAACTATCAGAGACACCACTGAAAGAATTTAAGTATTTCCCTCGTGGAAGTGGAAGGGGAGAAGAATGGAGCATTTACACTCTAGCCTTACCTTTTTAAACTGTGCATACCAATCACTTCGATTTCGAAACAAACTGAGTAACACAAGAGACGACTTCATAATCCTCGGAGAGCCATAATAAAAACAAGTGTTATGTAGGATATGAAGCAATTGGAACTCTTATGCACCGCCAGTGGGGATGTAAGACTTCAGTTGCTTTGGAAAATGATCTGGAAGTGCCTCAAAAAGTTAAATAAATACAGAGTTACCACAGAACCCAACAATGGCACTTCTACGCATATGCCCAAAAGAAATGAAAACACGTCTAAGCAAAAACTTGTACACAAATGTTCATAGCCACACTATTCAGAATGGGAAAAATTAGGAACAACCCAGTATTTATCAGCAGATGAATGGATAAATCTGTATGATAGAATATTATACAGCCATTAAAAGGAATACTGGTGCATATTGTGACATGAATAAACCTTCAAAGCATTATACTGAATAAAAGAATTCAGATACCAAAAAGTCATATATGATTCCTTTTTATATGAAATATCCAGAATAGATAAATCCATAGACACAGTACATAGATTGATGGTTGCCAAGGACAGGGGGAGGAGGAATGAAGAAATAGGTAAGGAGTTTCGCCTTGGAGATAAGGATTTTGGCTTTGTAGTGATAGGATGTTTTGACAGAAGCCATACGGCATTGTGAGTATGTATACCAAATGGCACTGTGTTACACACTTTAAAATGCTTGTTATTAAACTATAAATTATTTTAAATAATTACTGATTCATGTTATGACATGAACTTTGAAAACATACTGTTTTTAAAAAAGGCATAAAAGGAAATGTATTGTATGATTCCATTTCTGTGAAACATCCAGGAAAGATAAATTCGTGGGAGAAGAAGATAAACTGGTAACAGAGGAGGATTAGGGATAACAACTAATGGGTATGAGATTCCTTTTTGAGGTAATGAAAATGTTCCGGTATTAGTGGTAATAGTTGAACAACCTGTGAATATGCTAAAAACCACTGACGTGCATAGCTTTAAGAAGTGAATTTTATACATGAATTATACCTCACTCTTAAAAAAAATAAGATCAAACAACCACCAAAAGTTCTTCCCCTGAATTGCTGTGCAGAACCTACCAAATGGGGTGTCAGCACGCCCAACAGAGTAGAGGTAAAACTGACAGGAAAAACCAAGGTAATTATGCTCTGGCTCTGCGGTCTGGCCGTCTTCTTAGCATTTTGTCCTCTCGTCCAGTACTCTCCTTACTAATCCACATGTAGGATGAGACACTCCCAGGGAGGCATTTCCTTCACACGTGGCAGGAGCGTATTGCTTGTTCTCCGTCCATTTGTAACCTTCGCGCTTGTCTCCTCCTCCTAATCCCTCATTAATGCATCAGGGGCGACCTGGTGGAGGAGAGACCTCCTTAGTTAGCTGGCAGCGTGTCCACTTGAGACCGACAGCCGGCCCTGGAGGAACCGTTTCCCATTCTACGTCAGTGCTGCTGCAGCCTGCTATATTCAGTTCTGCTCACTGTTAATAGTCGAACATATCACTTCTATTTTTACATCTGTTTTTCCCGTTGTGCTACAGTGAGATGGTGGCAATAGCTACAGATGTCCTCAGCTCGGTTTGGAAGACATGACAGATGTATCTCTTTCCCATTTCTATATGTTCCCTGAATCTCAGCTTCAAAGTGACAGGACGCTCATGTCCTCACTCTGTTCTTTCCAACCTGAAGGTTGGGGCTGTGGTGGCTACCTATGGCACGTATGTTACTGTGTTTTTCTTTTAAGACAAAAGATGTTATAATATGCGACTTGTGTTTTTTAAACTAAAACCTCGGTATTCAGGTTTGATTGCAGTGTTGGCACTTTGTGATAAATAAGTGGGTTTTGGGGTTGCAGTTTGGGCACCGGATCTCTAGAAGGTTCACCGTTACTAGGTTAGGAGTTCTGCTGTCTCAGATTCAGGATTGTACTGCATTCACGTTCTGTGTGCATTCCCATGCACATCCAGCACGGTAACGTGGTAGGATCACTGTGGTAGTAAGATAGAAGACAATGGTAGTTATATTACCCTGCAATTTCTGTAAAATACTTGATACCTAAATTGTTTTTCATTATGTCAGTAATTAAGTCCTAGAACAGCGATGGCAAACCTTTTAGAGATGAGTGCCCAAACTGCAACCTAGAAACCCACTTC